ATGAATCTGACGTTAGTTGCCTTGATAAGCACATCTGCAATTGTATTCAACCTGTTCCACAATAAAGGTCTGTGGCTTATTCTAAACTATTAGCATTTTTTACCAGTAATGTCCTTTAATTTGAATGTTACCTTCTCTCTTTTTTATTCATGAAAACATAACTTATGTATGTTGAAAGCTTTAATGCTTCTGTTATGGGAAGCTTAAAATACTTGTAAACTACCCAGTGATATTAAAAAAAAAAAAAGCTCATCAAAAAGAATTTGCAGAGTATACATTGCTTAGCGAACTTTGTGATACTGCCGTCACACTGGGACATACCTTGAAGAAGAATACTTACAGTTTCTCTGTTGCTTTGTTTTGATGAAAGTAGGAAAAACTAGAAGATTCAAGAGATTGTTCTATATGTTGAAGTCTAACTGAAGATTGCTACAAACTAGTAGCTGGTCACAGACACAAATTTTAATTAGTATTTCATATCAAAATTGCTTAAGTTAATCCAAGGGAAAATACTTGGCAAATAATCATTTTACATTTACATTTAAAAACAGGAATGATATAAGTGCATAAGAGGAAGGATGGGAGCATGAATATGTGTACAGGAATTGACAACTCACAGCCTGAATCAATGATTGAGCACCTGGTGAAGGGAGACAGTCAGCCCTGGGAGTACAGGTGGAAGCAATTCACTTGTGCCACTGTAATGGGGTGGAACCAGGCTGCTCCCTAAGCCTCATTTAAGGCCTAGCTGGCAGAAAGGAGGGTTCTCTACTTGGAGATTCCTTTTCTTGGAGTATTCAGTGAGCCCTGATCTTTGAGAATGGGTAAGTAAAATTATCTTTCTTAAGTAGGATTGTGATCATCACTTTTTGGGGTGTAATTTGGAACTAGCTATCTGCCATCACTTTTCCCTACATGTCATAAGTGTCTGTAGAGGTTCTTACAAAAACATAAAATTAGATGGCTCTCCTGATTAGATTGTGCAGATTATTCTTCACTAGCAAGTCTAGTTTTGATTGATTAAGTTGATTGTGATTAACCAGTTTGTGTTGTTAAAGAAACATAGAGGCAATTATCGGTGAAATATAGTTTCATCAGTAATCACATATTGTTGTATTGTATCAGCTGTGCAACAATATGCAGCAAACTAGTGCGGATGGTTTGGTCTGTTGATAAGAGGTAGTATTCCCTTCAAAGAAAAAGATATTTTTGTGTTCTGAAACTTTGTTGATAACTACAGATCTCTTCAGGCAACTGCACTGGAATTCTTCATGGTACAAGATGCTAAGCAAATTCTGACATATTTGTTAATTAAGAAAAAAGAGCCTTCCAAATTAAGTGGGCCATGGTTTACCTGATACAGGAGCTAAGAAAGTTTCAAACTGGGTAAATATTTTTATACAGCACAGATCTCCATCTCCATGACAAAAACAACAAAATACTACCCCTTCTGAACGTGCAGAATTTTGTTCCTGTAAATCTTTTCACATTCTTGGGAGGAGATAGTTTCTACTTTATTTCTTTTTTGTATGAAGCTGCTGTCTGAATCCTATCTACTAAGTTGTTTACAAGTTGTTGCCCTGAGAGTAAAAATAAAGCAGCAGGAGACAACCCATATAACAACAGAATGTTTATCCATGGGTTGTAATAATTGAGAAGACATCGTATTAATACTTAAGTCAAAAATTAGGGAATCCTTCTCAATGTGAAAGACATTGAATTCAGTAGTTCTTTTTTGAACAAGCAACGAAGACTTCATAGAAATGCACATGTGCATGAAACAGTGCTTTACTGTGCTAAATAGACATCAGTCTGATGAGAATTATCTAATATGGAAGCTGATGCAGACAGCAGTCATGCAAGGAGACAGAATGATGAGCTATAATGAACTACCTGGGGTAGGTAATGCTACTTACTGAGTAGGTTAATTCTTTTACAGATAGGAAAGACAGAAGTATATGGTGATTCTGGAATTAGTTCATCTGCTGCCTTGTGCTGTACTGAATGATGGAATCATACCCTACACTTCTCTTGCTATGATACAGACAGCGCATTTGGCATCTATATTGTAATAATGCACTTTGGACAAGGAACTCTTTCTGGTATCCTCTACTTAAGTTTACGAGGAATGCTCTGAAAGTAATGTCTCTTAATTCATTATATTGGCCCATGATGGCAGAGGTGGATATTGGTTGTATGGCAATTAAGGCCGAACTTTTCCAGCACTATTTATTTGCATTTTGTTGCTGGGGCACTCTGACAAAATATTCACATGGAAGTTCATATGAAGATAAGATTATGCAATTGAATTCCTCCATTTAGAATAAAATTGTACTCATTGATGTTTACATATGTTTGCTGAACATTTATGGAGACCAAACAGTGAATGTGAGCACAGTGAGGCAGTGGGTGGTGCATTTCAGCAGCGGGTCCATCTCCACTGGTGCAAGTGGCATAGCATGCTTGCTCTTGTTCATTGCTGATGAAAATGCATAGCTCAAGGTGTTGATATTGTCAAAAAAAAGTGTTTTGTAGTGGAGAGCTTGCTCAAATATTATTTAGCTCTTTGTATCAATTGTTGTTTCCATGGTATCAATGGTTTAGGCATAAAACCATAACGTGCAAATAAATAGGAGGCATTAATTTCAGAGAAATGTTAGGTATGTCCTATACCTGAAGAAAGGATCCTGGCTTTCTTGTGGAAGTTCTTTTTGCTTATTAGATGTCTTTAGTGTTTTTTGCAGATCTTTAATATTATTTTTCCCTCTAATTCTGGAAGAATTTATAAGCAGTCTTCTGAACTATTCTTTTCCAAGGCTATTCTGATGTTCACTTCAATATCTTATAGATTTTGCATAGTGAAGTCTGTAGGCGAGGCATGATTAAGCTAGCCTAACTAAAACAAATTCATGTGTTTGAAACAATTGTTTTTATTGCCTTTCCCTCTATTCTTGTTGAAACAGATACACAAATTCTATTAAACTGTGAAGAACACATGGTGCAAAAGTAATCAGGCTCAAAAGTACCATTTAAAATGTCGTTTAACTGAATTGGTATGAGCTTGGAATAAGACAACACCTGGATAAACAGCTTGATTCAGCTATAAAGTGATACTGTTGGAATGAAAAGAGGGTTTACTACACTTGGACAAATGAACAAATGTGTCCGCAGTTTGAGAGACCCTTAAGCAACTGCCACCTGACATGAATAGGTGAGGTAAATCAAAGTGTGTCATTACACATCTACTACACGGAGTAGGACAACATCTCAGCAGGGTGTTTTATCTTTGTAGAATCATAAAATAAGATAGGTTTGAGATATAGAATAATTTAACTCAGAGGGGGGAACCCTCACTCCAGTCAAGACCAGCTTCAAACCTGTATCTGACTTCAAAGTTCCATGAAGTTGTTCAGAGCTTTGGGTGAATTCAACTTACAGTGGTGTCAACTTAATAGTGTTACAGTACTAGGCTTTTCTTTTGTTGGGTGATAGTAAAGGCAGACCAGCTTCTGTTCTGGTATTAAAAACAAACAAACAAACAAACAAACAAAAAAAAACACACGGGCCACTGTTGTTTGACAAATGTGCATATTCATATTTTTCCTCTCATACAAACTACTTCTAGAAGAGTACTTCATTTTCAGTGTTTTGTTCATCCACAGAATCTCTCTGAGAAATTCTGGTAACAAGAAAAGTTAATCTCTTCTGGCCTTGAAAGGTCTAAGTTATGCTGCTTACAGCATAATGTACCCTATGGAGTCAAATGAGCATATTCTTCAATGCATGACTAAAAGGAAGAGCCATGTGAATTTAGTAACAACTTTTTGAAATGTATGCCTTCATCAGAGATGAACAAAGACAAATTCAAATGACCACAGCCTTTCATTAGCAAGTGGGTGGATGGCTGGGCAGGGGGCCTCATTGTGAAGACCAGCTACACAATTTACTAGCAGCTAAATAACTGTGCAGTGAGAGGGCCTATGACAGAAAAAGGTAGAATAACTCCCTTTACTTTCTCAGAATTCCCCTAAACTGTAATGAACTCTTTTTCTACCTCTGACACACCAAAGCTATATAATCATCTATTTTAGGATGTTTCAGAAAGATATTCAAGTAATTAAGAAATTATGGATTTCTTTATTTAAAAGCAAATGTGACAACAATAGTGGAAAAACAACTGGAGAAAAGACCTCTGTAAAGAATAACTGCCATGAAAGGCAATCTGTCACACTGCATGTTCTTAGCCTATGTTTTTTAGTTCTGTGATACACAGAAAATGCTGTTTTACCTTTCTCTGTACTAGGCCGTGGGCTTTGTACCGAGTTTCCAATGGATTAGGAATGAGCTTTGTCAGGTTTGATCTGCATATGATTTTGTAGACCTATTTCCAATTTTGTTTGACTAGGAGTTTTTAATAATTTATGAAATGGCTAGTTGGCAAGTCTAATTTGTTTTATTTTAGAAATGAAAAAGTAAAACTATACTTTCTGCTGGCAAAGGATGTGGGATGCTGATTACGTGCTACGTTGTTTCCATGAGACAGAAACCACCTCCAGCAGTCTCTTGAGGAACAGTTTTGGTGTTCATTATATGTGGAAAAATGATAGGAAGCTTGTCTATAATAATTGTATTATTCTCATTGAGACTTTCTGCATATTGGTATTTTCTTTCTTTTCTTATTGTGTACTAAATAGATTTGGAAATACTACTTTCATTAGAGTAGTAAGCTTTCAATTACTATAAAAGTAACTTTGGCTTTTCACATAAAGCATGTTTCCCTGTAACCCATTCTGAGTACAGCATTCAACAATGGCTGTCATGCTGTGTAACATTAAGTTGAGAATGGGTAGAGTATAATAGTGTAACAAGTGCTGCTTTTTCAGTGCAGAAATCAATATGTATCTTTAAGAAACATGTCCTTTATGAGGATTAACTAGGATAAAACACTCATCACCACTTCTAAATTAGATATCCTGCATTAACACTTAAAGGAGAGATACCTCTTGGCTTCCATTTGAATTGTTGGTGGAGAAGGTAGTGCCATGTTTTTCCTCCCTCCATATCAGTCCGGTCCTAGCTAAAAAGAGTAGAAGGACCTGTTGGGAAGGGTTTTAAATATGCATATCTAAATATAGGTGCTTGCCAAGAATTAGGAGTGACTAGAAGAAGTAAATGAGACAAAGGAGGAGCTCACTTATAATAGTTGTATTTGGACTCTTGAACTAATTACACAGTAGCTGAACACATTTAAAGATAAATATGGATATGTTCTATCTATAATGATGAAAGCTGTGCGAGTTATACTCTGTACTTATGTGACTGTAACAAGAGAATGAGAAAGTCTTTCGTTAAAGTTTTACTGGGTTCTTTGCTTCCTGTGGTGAACTGAGAACAGAGGGAAGAAGCATAGGCTTCTCTCTTCCCTCTTCAGACTTTTTTTCCTGTGAATTTCAGCACAATAAAAACGCTGATTTGCACTTTTTCCCACAGTAAGAAAAAATGGCTACTGTGAGCTGTTCAGGATGTCTGTGTTTCTGGCTGTTTTCAATGCACTTATTTTTATTTTTTATTAATTATGAGAGGTGGGGGCCAATTCCTGACATTCCTGAGCTCAATCATGTCTCCTCCAGGCATGAACTCATCTTAGAGTTTACAATCTTTAAAGCTGTCCCTAAAGATATTGACAGCTTGTCCTTTTGTAGTTGGAGGAGTTCCAGGTTGATCAGAATGGAATGATACATTGCACATAAGTTTTAATTTCGCTTGCTGTTGTGCTGGTTTTGATTGCTCTATTCTGTGTGGAGGTGGGGAAGTGAAAGTGACTCTTTGGAGATCAGAAATTGTCATTTTACTTTGCTGCCCACGCATAAAATATAGTACAATAGAGTAAAAAAGCAGATATGAAAAAACAGATAAACAGCAGTGAAGTGGGGTCTCACTTCAGTTTACAGGAGGGAGAGGTGGTTCTCTTAATATCTGTATACCTGGTGTGAGATTAAGAAACAACGGTTCAAATGTTGGTCCGACCAGTTTATTACAGATCTTAATTAGGGAGATGGGGAAGGGGAGGACGGATGCTATTATGAATTAGGGTAACAGGGAAGGGAAGGAGGGCGATAGAAAAGATAGGAAAGAAGAAGCAAGGAGTCTGTATAGGAAGCAAGAGGGAGATAGTCACCACCATGGATCCAGCATGGTTAATAGTTCAGTCCTTGATCTTCAGCAGTGGTGGGTTGTTGGGCATTGTTGTTCTGTTGATGATAATAACAATGGTGACCATGGTGATGATGGACCCTTCTCAATGGTTCCAAAGTGGTTGAGTCTGCTCTCCTTGGAGTGGCAGCTTCTGGCTTTGCAGTCTCAGCAGAAACTCCTTTGTTCCTATCTTCCTGGCCTTGCCAGCAGATAAGAGGGAGCAGGGATGCCCATCTGCATCCTGTTTTTCACAGGATACGATGGTATCATTCCCCAGTTTTCCCATACCAAGCTGGAGCTATTTAGTCACAGGCCAGATCTTCTGCCAGTAAACGCTCCTGAGCACTCTCTTCTGGAGGCAAGCAGCTCTGGAGGAAGGGGCTTTCAAAAGTCCACAAAGCAATGTCGGTTGTCACACAGTAGCACCCATCACTTGCCTCCTCAACAAATCAGCCAGAGACTTATCACAAGAAATACCTCAGGAAACAAGGTTTGAGCCAAAAAAAAAAAAAAAAGATTCTCACAGGTGGGAAGAGTAGAAATCCAGTTAATGGGGAAGATGGAAAAAATTGTGTAGGATATTTTCATAGCTAAAGTAGCCTTTCAGATACTTGTGAACAAGTATGTGAGTGGTATTTAAAGTAATGAGAAATTGTGCAGAACAAACAATAAAATGAGTGCAAAGTTCTGTGTATCTAGTATTTTACTCAGGTTTGCTGGGGGGAAAAGGAAATAAGGAAAATAGGAAAAATGACCTTGTGAATCAAAGAGTAACTGTGCACTCTAAAATGTGCTCTATTGCGAAATGAAACTGAATTGCCTGCTCTCTTGTTTGCTGCCACCCTCAGGTATGGATTTTCCTTTCAGTGTGCATGTCTCTAAGACATCAGCCACACTTCTATTCCTGCACAGAACTTGGCACAGTCTAATAATTGAGCAGCTCCTAAATATAATTTGGGTCTCAGGAAAAGACAACAGAAGATTCATTCCACAGATGCAGTGAAAGTATTGAGTACTGCATCAAGATGAGGTCTCAAAAAAAAAAAAGCATGTAGCCCAATTTTAAAACAGTGGCTATGGATTCATCATCATAGAATAATGAATTTAAAGAATTTGACTGAAGATTCAAGTCCATACCTTCCCTATTGTGAGTGCCTTAGGCTACATTTATATTATGAAGTAGAGCAGTACATTTAAACAGATGGTGCCAATGATACTAATTTAGGAAATCCATGCTTAGTAGTGGTGCTCTGTGATGTGACATCCAGTCCTTAGTATTACCAAGCAGCTGGAGTATGTTAGGTCAGGTTCAGTAGTCCACTGGAAATTTTATCTAATAGAAATTCAGATTGCCCTCTAAGATTGTTACACAATGTGAGTAAAAGTGTAGTAAAGAAAACCTCATCTTTGTTTCAAATATACAAGAGCTGAACTAAGATTCAGTTGCAAGTTCAACTTTCTGGACTGTATGTTTCTATCTCTTTTGTTGATGCTTTGCATAGGATTTATGAAATATGTAGTCATTATCTAAATAAAGCAGTCAATTGTAATCATTTGTTTCATGCTTAGTGAAAACTGTAGAGTTTTTATCACACTGGATAAAGACACAGTTGCAGTCCTGTTTTGGATACCTATGTTTCTAGAGAAGGATCAGAGGGAGATGTGATTTCACAGATGTGCTTAGCATTTGTGTCAAAGAGCAATGAGAACCTCTAATTCAATTCACCAAATCCATTAATTCTTTACAATGCCTTGTCTTCTACAAGGAATACTCTAAAGAAACTAGAAAACCAATGTTTCATTTTTAGAGATCCAGTACAGAAAACATTACATAATCTCTTACACACGTAAGCCCTTTTCCTGGATCATTCAGCTGAAAAGAGGTCATGCATCTCTAACATATAAAATAATGAAAAATAAGAAGTCCCCTTTAATTTTCAAAGTGTTTGCAATAGATTATGTAACTTCAGATATGCTTTCAATATCTTATATGAAACAGCACAGACGCATTCTGTTGAGCATAGTCACCTGAAATAAAAAAAAAATTCTCAGTTACAGTGGGCCTAGACTTACAATTGATATTACTAAATGTTACTATTTCTACATTAAAAAAAAAAAAGCCTTGACTTCATTCTGGTAAGGACTTTGTACCTCTGAGTCTACAGTCTAAACAGGCAAGAAAAATAAAAGAATGAGAGGCAACAAAGCTTTATAAAATGATGTAGAATGTTAATGGCAAAGTGAGACAAAGAACAGAGTCTGAGACTTAAAAGCCTTCATTCTATTCAACGGAGAAATGACATCAGAGTTTGCTGCAACAAATGGAAGTGGCTGAACAAAATTACGCAGATCAAGAGATTAATTCCAATAGCTGGAGAATGTTCTTGAAAAGGCTGATTTAAGGAAGAGCTAGTACCAATGAATTCATGAAGCTTATGGCTAGAGTAATACTAAACTATAAGAAATATTGTGGCAGTTTAAATGCCATGACAATTCCAACAGGCATTCTGTACTACGTCAGTCAAATTACTTAGAAATAAGCAAAAGGGGAAAAACATTTAAAAGTAAAGAATGAACCTCATACAAATTATGAGCTAGTAGACCACTGACACCTCATATATCCCTCTTCCAATACAAGAGCAACAAAACTACAGGAGACTTGATCTATCTACTGTATTTGAAGTTACTGTATTTGAAAAGTTGTGCTTCAGTTGGCTTTATATAGATTGTGATTGTTGGAAATATCCAAATAATTTTTGTCAGGACGGTATCTCTGATGAAAGTAGATCTTATTCGTGATTGCAATGGTGGGTGTCCTGCAAGCACAAGCACTCCTTACACAGTGACAGTTTTTGTACCTTGTTTCCCCGTTGGCTGGGTACTTCAAGTTCACAATCTTATCAAAGTTTACATTTGTTAATTCGTGTGTTATCTGGTGTCAGTCAGTAGCCATCCTGTTGTTTCCAATATGTCTCAGTGCTCTTCTTGTATTGATATGGTGATTTTCTTCAAAGCCTTTAAGCAAAGAACACTGGGGTGGTGGGGGTGATGCCAGGCCTTCCCGATGTCTCTTGAGGCACTTCCTTGGGGATGCCATGACTTGTTCTCTGCTTTGATCAATCTCGTGCAGGATATTATCACAATGTGTATGATAAAATATACATACATAAACCTATATACTGAGTGTGCATTCTAGGGGAAGGTTTGTCTAGAGGATAAGTGGTGCAAACTATCAGATCCCCAACTTCCTCCCAAGTGAAGTAGAGAGACTCCCAGAAAGAACTATGGCCGTGGAGACCATGAAATAAAAAAATATTATCCAATTCTAATGCAGAAACAACGTTCGATTCCCACAGTGATTCACTATCTCTGATTCTCAAAGTCCCAACTCATAAGATAACCTACCACACACATTCAGAAATATCTATGTGAAGTTTGCTAACCCTAGAGATATCAAAAATGCAGTGTCTTTGAGTTGCACTAGAGAAGCAAACTCAGATCTGTTTATTTCATATTTTGCCAGGCCTGGTAAAAGGAATTATATGTAGCAGCTTTCCTCTGAACTGTTCTTGTCAATAATACTAGCAGCCTGGAGAAGTAATATTTGTCTTTTTTTTTATTATTGTTATTTAGCCAATATAAGCTTCCCTTATGCATTTATTGTCCTATTTTCTTAGTATTGGACTCGAACTTCTGATTTTTGTATTGCTGTGCTAAGCTTTTGCACTAATAAGACAGAGGCACAGTGTTTAGTACAGCAAGTCACAGTAGTTGCAGTACAGCTTTGAAATATCTGGAACACAATTGGAAAACAAATATCACATGACACAAAAACAGTCCAAGAGATGGATGTCAGTTCTAACTGTCTTGGATATGTTTAGCTTGGACACTAAGGAGGGATAGACATAAGTGGGTAGGAAATAGTGTTCTGTTAAAAAACAAACCATGTCTTTCTCCCTAGCATAATCCTACCACATTTTGCACAAAATACCTAAAATATTTTACTTTGTGAGGTATTATACATTCAGAAAAATGGCTCTCAATGTTTTAGCTTCATTTTAAGATGATGTTAACCATACACAGTCTTAAAATATTTTAAATAGTTTTGTTACTTATGATTTTTTCTGGAATACAGGTAGCTATAAAGACCACTAGATTGATTTCCTCTTTCAGGAATTCTAATGAAACTGTTGGTATATTGGGAATATAGCTGACTAGGAAACTAAAGCATCTCCAGGTTTGTGAAAGCTCAACAAATAAAAATTGAGAAATAGTGTTAAATGACACTTAACTATTTCCAACAAACAGTTCTGTGTTCACACAAGGAAATATGACAGCACATAAAAAAAGGTGCCAAGAGCTACTGCCAAGCAGTTAAGAAATTGCTTTACCTGGACTTCACCATCAGTAAAAACTCTAGTTCAGTCACAGGATCCTATCTGTACTGCTATGATTTGTTTCAGAATGATGATTTAGAAACAGTGAAGCTGAAATATGCTACCCCCACCTACAACTATAGCAAAGAGTGATCGGTTGCAGCTCTATGAATGATATCTGAAATCTTGGCATGACTATCTGAAAGTGTTTTTAGGTAACTTTTTTAGCTGTTTAATATAGGTCTTCAAGATAAGTCACCTTTCATCATGAGACAACAGGTTAAGCATGGTGAACTTGAAAACTAAGTGGTCTTTTAAGTTTCAGTTGAAGTGCAAGGCTCACAAATGCAGTATCAGTATTGCACCCATAGATACAACCTAATTTGCCTGTATAACTGACTTAACCAGTAAACTAGAAGAAAAACCTTTCTCTAGAAGCCTAAAAAGGATCAGTCTCTGTAGAATTCTTCTAAAGAAAAAGAATTCTAAGACTACACACCATTTTTAATATCTTAGTCAATCAATTCAAAGTTGCAAATCAATATGATAATGTTACAAAATAGTACAGTTGTGAAAACTGCTTTATTTTCAGTTGCAGAAGATAATTGCTGATGGTAATGAAGTCCCGTATCAAGAGACTTTTCATGGGGGGGGGGGGGGGGGGGGGGG